TAGCGATCCTGTGGAGAGAAAGAGGAGAGGACACGTGACGCAAACGATACTTGGCTTTGCGGCTTCATAAGATTGACTGCAATTTCATATTTCACTTTGAAAAACAAGTAATCAAAAACGGAAGAGGTAGCGTATATCGTATTGGTTGATCGAGAGCCTCTGTGAAGTGACTTCGGTCGAATCCTGAAATATGAACTCTTCTTTGCGTTGAATTAATTTATTCGCAGCCTCCTTTTTAAAGTGTCAAATGGGCCCAAAATATAAACACAAACCCAAGATCTACGCCTAGAAAAGTTGTCAATTCTACAGCTTTTAAGTGTTGATACATTTGCACGGGTGTGGTGTAAAGGGGGCATGTCATTACGTACTGCGAGATCCCGCGGCGTGACCATCTCCGTCACTTGTTGGTAGCTGCAGTGCCCCTCCAGACAGGTCGTGGACAGCTCGGTGTTTTCCTCGTTAAACGGTTCCATAGCTTCAAGAGCTCTGTGCTGGACAGAGCTCCCGGGCAATTCCTCCGTAAAGCTCAAGTTTTCGTGACCTCAAGTTGGGATGAATACAGAAGGGTTTAGATGTGTGTAAAGAATGTTAGCGAAGTCTATCGCGTATTACAAAAAGAGTTTGTCTTTACAGCAATAAGATATTTCCAATTCATCGATGTATTGATCGGTAAACCATTATTCTCATAGGAAGAGCTTGATCTCCAATCTCCAGAATGATCTCAAAATTGCAATTACAGAACAAAAGGATGGAAACGATGATTAGACAATTGGGGAGTCAGCAACGGGTAGACACGTCACGAAGCTGAAAGATTGATCTTACTTAATTGTTTCCTCAAAAATCGCAAAATTATGAACACCTGTTACGATTGTAGTTTCGACAAAATATACATCGTCTTAACAACACACACATGGTCCACTTGTTTTCATACCAGTAACTGGACAGGCCATCTTGACCCTGCAGCTTGTCACACTGGTTGCCTGTCCGTGGCATTCGTTGCCGCCATTTTTCGGCGGGGGCCAGTTGCAGGTGCGATACCTCAGCTTGGTTCCGTCACCGCAGGTCGTGTTGCAGGCTCCCCATTCACTCCAAGCAGTCCAACCACCGTCAACTATCAGTGCCAAGAAAGAACAAAGTATCACTTCTGTTTACCATTTCTGATAAGCGGTTAGTTTTGGTTTGTCAGCAGTGCTGGAAAGCCCAAAGAGTCAAACGCCCTCAGATATATTTTAAAAGCATTACACAATGTTAACGACAAATATGCCTATACATGTAGATGGAATTAGTAGATTCTGATGACTTTAAACACAGCAAGGGATTTTCTAAAATCGTCTCTCCACTTTGCAGTAACTGGTTCTATTTTACATATAGGCTTTACATTAACAACCTTTATTTGGAGAACGTACTGATAGACACTTGAAGAAATTTACTGTGCACATCTGGGGTTTTTTATGCGTTCAATAGTTATGGCTACTGATCATTAATTTTACACTGTACCGTCGGCGTGCTTTGGGCACTTCTTCTCATGAGCGCCAAATGAAGTCAGTGTACAACTTCACGATAACAGTACATGTTATCTAAAAACGTGCGCAAACTCGATGTGAGTTGTAGAATATGGTTCGATGAGACCAGCAACTCATAATCTCGATGCTCTAAATGAGGTTCTAATCAGAACCTGTCAATAATCTATCTCGTCTCTTACCTGGACATTCGCTAGGGTCTTCGTTCCACGTACAAACGTACGTGTGCCAGAAGCGTTTCCGTGCCGCGGGGTCGGCATGGGAACTCGCCCAGGCGTAGCTGGCCACTTCGGCCTCGCTGCACTGGTAATCCTCCTGCAGACACGCGCTGGCGAACAGAACCTGGCTGTCCGGCCTCAAGAGATGAAGGGCGTCCGACAATTCAGGCGATAGATAGACAGAGGAAGAAGCTGTCAACAATAAGAAACTTTCCCCTTTATTTTGGAAGTAGGGTATTGGTTCAAGTCTTCATTACCAAATTTGGCGTATAAGGTAGACTGGTATCTTTTCAGCATCACGTGCTGCTGCCAAATCTCTGAAGAAGCTCTGAGGTGCCTGTTTCCGGCAAATGACACTTCTGTCTCCCTTTCAAGAAATTCTGATATTCTGTGAATTACATGTGTGAGACACGATGTATCATTGATTGATAGATAGATTGATCATAGTTTATTTTGTGTTGGGACATTGGAAATAGAATCAGGTTCTATACAGTTTTTGCCTGTTACCGAATAAAGGGGGATTGTACGTGCCCCCCCCCATTTTTTTTACATTTTAATCTCGCAAAACTGGTAAGTCCTCCAAAAAAAAAAAGCAACACTCTCTTTACTGTGCTGACCCTATTTTGGGGACATTTCAATTGTAAATGTGAGAAAATGTTACTTTCTTACCGATAAACTAGCCATGCAATTTGAATCCACCATGTGTCATGTGTTAAAACACAGTTTCCCCTCATAATTTCCCGCTAAACTCAAAGCCCTTCCCTTTTTTCACAACATTAATCGTACAGTTACTGAGCATGATGTCACAGTCGTCTCCCAAGGTGAATTCAAAAGTTAAAATATAGCTCTCCCTTCTATTATAGGAACAGGGTCCCCAAATTTACAATCCTCACCGAATAGGTCTATTTTGACCTTATACTCACCAAACGTAAGACGAACGGTACATAAGATGATGACATGCGTAAGAAACTCACATTGTGCCTGAAAAGAGAAATGAGGCAGTTCATCACTTCAACATTTGTACATTTCTAGATCTACATGATTCCAGGCCCTGCTGAAATAATGTTCATTTTGAAATCGGTCCAGTACATTAGTGCTGTACCAAGGCAAAAGTCATGTTAGAACTACATACTGGTACCGTCTGGTGCAACTATTTTTTTTTTTAGATGAGATTAGGTCGTGCCATCCATTTTTTCAGATTGGATAGGTGTAAGTTAACATTCTAATAAAAAAGTTTAATCAGGGTTGCATAGGTTATTTTAGAGCAAAACATTCTTGAACAAGAGAGACAGGACAAGGCCTGAAGGAGACACGTCTCAGCCTGTGAGTCTTTCAGGTGAACAGGTGAAAGGTGTCTTTTGATCAAATCGTTGAACTTGAAATGTCTGGTCGAGAATGTACGCAGGGGACAGGATTTTGCTTAACGTTGCACGAGTCATCTTGGATCTAGATAAAACTGCTACAGAGCTGATAAAATACCCAACAGCTGCGTGAGGTTTATCATCAGACCTGCACCGCTCTGAAAGGGCGGTTTTGGCAATAATTCTTATAAATAGCTAATCAATAGTATGTCGTAACAAATGAGATTTGGTACATTCATAATGGCTTACCATTTTGACAATATCAAGTCAAACCGACGATTTTGAGGCCAAAAGCACAAAACTTCGATCCCTGCCTCCAAACTGTAGACATCATTGCTAGCGGTCACTACTGCAAATTTGCTTCATTTCCTTACAGGTTCCCAATATATTAAACTATGGCTTCTAAGATACCATGGCAAACATTATAAACTCTCAAATGATCCGATTGAAGAAAGCGGTGTAATTCTTTACTCATTGGTGTAAAGTTCGACAAAGTTGTTTTTTTGAAAATTGATCTACGAGTGCGTTGATGCGTACTCGAATATCTTTGAGACGCGCGCGCATGAATAACTATGATCGTCATTACGCGCACGTGCGTACACTATGCGCATATAATACGCACACATGGCACGCGGAGTGCACCGATCATGTTGTAGGTGTGAAGCTGTTACTTTGTAAACTGTTCCAAAACGGACTTGCTGGTTTTGGAGGTGTCGACGGAAGGCCTGGTCCGACTCCGAATATTACCAATTTGTTCCTTGGAGCCCGCACGCAAGCGGCTCATCCATATGGAACACTAAACGTACGTTTGGTAAACGTTATTTGATGTCAGTTCACATTAATTGTCAATCTGTTATGTGGTGTCGTCTATCCATGATGTGATTTGTCAACGGGGTCCACTTTTTTAAATTATAAATGTACCTATGCTTTTTGAGAAGTAGTACCTTGTGTGACGATGAAAAATAGCGCCCTATAAAATTTATCGAGAAAAGGATTTTCCAAGAAAGGAAAAACTGCCATCGTCTTGTCACTTTTAATGAAAAGAACTTCATTTAACAATTGTTTCCTGCGGGGTAGGGGCCATGGTGTTTTGTACGCCCGAGGGGGCAAATGGCACTTGAGGCGAAGCCGAGGGTGTCATTTGCTCCCGAGGATGTAGAAAACCCATGGACCCCGTCACTGCAGGCAACAATTGTTTTATTATACCATGGTCATAGATTTCACTGGAACGATTTTATGCAAGAAAAATTAAAACACTTTGACAGATTGAAACACGTGAACAGTACATTGAATATTAAATTTCAAGGAAAATTTTTGATTGTGATGTCCTTTGTTTACCTCTTTTTTGGGGGGGATCTCAGATTTATAACAAACTCGTTTAACAGAGAAACCTGGGATTCATAAATCCTGGGGGGTTTGTCGACTGGTTGAATTTCAAGAAATCATTTACACCAAATACTGTTGGAAATTATTGACAAAATTGAAGAGCAGACGAAAAGAGATAATTGCCTGAGCGTTTTATATAAACAGCAAGGGCGATTCGGATTGCAGAAACAGTGATCAGAGCATACTCGTGTTCCACGAACATAAAGCTGGGGGCACAAAAAAGAAGTCAACCCTGGGGTGGGCTCCGTCATGGTCAGAGTGAAGAGAGTAGCACATGCCAACTAACACAGTGCTTCAACATACCCCAAACAAAGCACATGTCCTACAATAATTGGCGCGTTCCAGCACCGTCACGGCTATCTACCCTCGTACCCGAGATTACACAATTACAATGCAGTAAACACGACACACCAGCTGTGGGAAAGATCACCGTTATCCATAATTGTTTTTGCGGCCCAGCAACATCGCCAGTACGTGCGCGCGACGCGAGAATGATACACGCACTCTTGTACTTTGTATCACGTGATCAGTCCGCAACCAATAAAAATGCATCTATATATGACCATGGTGCAACAATCTTGTATGTAATGTCACCTGAATGTTGTATCATATAGTAACATGTATGAAAACAAGTTGAGCTGAATATCCACGGCATGTTATCTTTAAATATTTATTTTTTCACTTACAATTGAGGTAGGTAAAGAAAGTACTTGATTGTACATTCTTATAAAGCCACAAGCCGTTGCAGCTAAGAGCTGAGGTAGCCTTGGATTACACAGAAGGGTCAGTGGCCATACACATTTAATATGTATTACGAAATTAGAAACCTAACCTCAACACCTCATTTAAGATGGTTAATTTTGTAATCGTGTCATAAGTACATTATTGACAAAATTCACGCTTGTTGGATCTGTGATTTAACATACTGATTACATAATTGATACAAATTTTTACATATAAAAATGAAAATGAAACCCCAATTATGCCATAAACCACAAATCTCAAGAAAAAAGCACTCCTGTCTTAGGCTTAGAAGGGAAAAACCAAATTATTTGGTGTTTGGTACTGCTTAGGTCAGACACACACAGTGTGAAATCCATGCACTTGGCCACACCTGTCATAGACACTAAAATCCTAAAAATAGAATTTATTAAAAAAAATTCTGGTAAAGAGTAGGGAAATACATGTATAACCCAATGTCTTCACCAGCAGCTGCACATTACTGCTCATTTCACACCTGTAATACACTGGCCCACAGTCCTTCACAACCACTCATCAAAATAACCTTCTGCACTCTTTTGGAATCAACTCCTGTTGACTAAAATATCGAAACTTTCATGAGTACGACTGGCACCTCTACAAAGAAAACATACCAAACACACAGAGAATGTATGGTTGTAGTTTTATAACAAGCGAGACAAGTTAATGCATCATATATTGCCCATCAATCTTAACCAAGTAACTCTAATAGAATCTAACAAGCGTTTCTTACGGGCGCAGACGCAAGACGGCTTGATGTATCAACTTTGGTACAGACCATACACAAAAACATTGACAGATCTAGGAATACAAAGGGGCACAAGGACCATGATCTTCCGTGGCTCGTTGTATTCCCGTATTTGGATGAACCTGGATCCATCTTTGAGAAATGTGGGTCAGGTGAATCACTGAAAGGGTGCTGAGCTGTGGAGGATTTGGAAGGATTTGGATGAAAAGGAACAAGCTGCTTTGGGTCTGTACCAATTGATATATATGCATATACACCCTGATTCAGTACACTTCTAAACGCATTTGTTCCTGGTATTGATTACACACTTCTAAGGAGCCGAGGAAAAACCTGAATGTGTCTGAGATTTATTTCAGTATTTTATGATCTGCTGCAATTTTGACGACAAAACAAGAATAAATGCCCCTAAGAAACACTACGGCTAAATAGTTTGCAATTAACACAATGCTTAGCAGGAAGTACAAATGGTAAGCGATAATACAGCATTATACAGACTGTTTGGATCTGGTTACAGTGTACCAAGGTTTTCATTTTGATCACAACTTTAAACTTCAACACTCCATAAAATTTATACAAATACATGTATTGAGAAAAAGACCAAAAATTGAAAAAATATATGTCCAAAATCTTTTAAAGTCATATTTCAGAAGGGACAAAAGTTCAATGTACATGCACATGTAGGAGGGAAAGATTCCTTTACTTTGGAAACTGAATTGCAGATTCTGGGAATGTGAACTGAATCACTGACCAAGTCAGGTAGCATTCCCCGATCCAATCAGATAAGGGTGGGACTAGACAATGTGGTGTCATTTGAAGTTTTTCATAAATGAATGCTATATGATTGCATGTATAAATTCAACGACATCCTCTACATGCATTTGATCTATGGCTAACAGAATAAACCATGCAACTCTCCCTTTCCCATATTTCAGGTACAAGAAAGTAGATGTGGTGAAAGACACTTCACATGGGTGGGTTGTAGGAAAATAACACTTTTGTATTGTAAATACTATGTTCATAAAAATCAAGTAAAACTTCTTGTACCAATTTTTTGGATGATTTAGGGTTTTGATTTTTTAAGATTTTTTCCTTCTCCTTTCAGACAACATTTTGTGTTTCATTCTTTTGAGATATTTAGGATTTTCAAGTACTAAGTATGGATAATTTCAACAATACTATGATTTTAAACAGATAGTTCAAATATTTTTCTTTTAATCCGTGTAAATATTGAGGGCCATTAGATTTCGCAGAAGTTTTGCATGACTGGAAGTGGAGAGACAAAATTAAAAGGTGACGCAGAATTTGTCTCTTTTTTTTACCAAGGTACAACTGTTATATTTTGTCAGTCTGTCCCATCCCATGCAAATACAAGCGTTGCAGTCAAGACCATCACTGACCAGACACAAGACCAGTCACAAGTAACAGTGGAACAATGACAAAGGCATGTATTTTCATGCATTTCATTTAAATTGCTTGTGACTTAAATTCAAAATGGAGGTCTTGTGTTGGTCTTAAAAGGTGCCGACTACAACAGTAGCAAATACTGGAATCTATAATATCCATTACCTTTGTTGGAAGGTGTTCATTTTAATTTTTATTGTGCTCTTCAGTGTATTTATTTTGGGGGGGCTCGTTCTGCAGATCAATGCAGGTGGTGGGTCCGCTGATGACGCCCTCCGGGAAGCACCGCCAGGGATCGTTGGTAGCGTGACGCCAGTTGCAGATGGCCTTCTGCATGGCTTCCAGCGTGGTCTTGTGGGTGGGTGCTTGGGCCAAGTTGACCTCTTCCATGGGGTCATTGGTCACGTCATACAGCTCCCACTCCGGCCGGTAGTAGTACTGGTCTAGGGTCTTGTACCACTTGGTGGGTTTGCCTGCGGCTGTGTTGTTGAGGATGTCCACGAACGTCGGGCAGGCGGCAAGGTCCTGAGCGATAGGGTAAGGGGCACGGTAGTTCATGTTGTGGATCAAGCGATACTGCCGGTCCCTCATGACACGCATCGGGTAGGACATGGTCACCTCGTGGAAGTTGTGGCTGGAGAAAACAAAATCCCAGCCCTTGGGCTCGGCCAGGGTGATGGGCAGCATGGACTGACCGGTCAGCACCACCTTCTTCCTCAGGAGCGAGTAGTTGGGGTAGGGCACCCCAAACCAGTCCAGGACTGTGGGTACAATGTCGGTGGTGCTGGTCAATGCCTCACTGTACTGGCCCCAGCGTTGCTTGGCGTATGGATTGGAGACCATCATGGGCTCCCCCATGCCTGGCTCATACAGGTTGGTCTTGGCATTGGGGAAGGGGATGCCGTTATCGGCTGTGTAGATAATCAGGGTGTCATTGAGGTAGCCGAAAGCCTCCAACTCCTTCAAGAGCATGCCAACACCTGCACAGTCAGAGACAATAACAGGAGACTCAAATCTAAGCAACTTGGCTCCACACCAGACAACATGCACTCGTGTCCAATAAGTTATGAAGGACATGTGCAGTATCTAAACACATTCTCCCATACAAGTGATGTTCCAACAAGTTTTAGTTTGAGTCCCGGAACTAACAGAATCTCTCAGCAGAATTAACAATATGTTCACTGAGAATTAAAATTAAAATTTTTTGGAAGAACTTGATTTCTTCCGTTTAATTTCTGTAAAAAAGCAGCAATTCACTTTATGGTGTGCCCCAGTTTATCCCTAGAAGACCCAGTTTTAGCTTTTGGCTTGACAGAGTTAACTATGCATTGCAGCACCAACGACAGCACTTTGAAATATGTGGCAGGCCACTACCGAGTGAAAATCAATGCAAGCGGATAAACAGAAGAAATTTTTCAATCAATCACAACGACCCATGTCCATCCCATCATCACCGTCCCAATGATCCCCTGGATAGTTACAAGTTTTGGTTGAGAAAATGCGTGAAAGAGGTGTCACGAGAGCTGTCCATCCCTGCTACGTAACTCTGCCATGTTGGCTTCATCCCACAATGGGACCTGTGCTTCCACTGTGTTGAGCAACAGCAGTACGAAGACTAGATTCTTTTGGGACGCTTCTTTTAAAAATTGTTTCCTGCAAGTACTATATCCTTTTATCTCTAAAACCAAAAGCACGGAAAAAAACCAACACGCTGAAAAGTTCACAAGAAACGGCCAAAATAAACAGTAGTCAGCTTGATATGTGAATCCACACTGTGACAGACAAGTTTAAATGTGGCATGCTTTTGATGTGAATACAGGTGCGTGGCAGGGAAGATGGACTGATGGATAACTCTGTGGACGTTGCTTTTGAAAAGAAGTCAGATCAGCGACAGTACCTGCATCCATCCTGCTGATGGAGATGTACTGTGCCACAATATCCCCTCGTGTGGCCTGGGTATCCGGCAGATACCGCGGCACAATAACATCAGACGCGTTGTATTCTGTCGGCTTCCAATCGGCGATCACCCCCATCCCCGGATGCCCATTGCCAAAGCGCTCCGCAAATTGCCCATATTTGGGTATGTCGGAGGGGTCGGCCCGGTGTGGGTCCTTGAACCCGATGTAGAGTAGAAAGGGCCTGAATGAGGATAGAGAGATAGAATTGGGAGAGACGGTTTAATACCTTGATCCATGCGGCTGATGGAGGTGTACTGAGCGGCGATGTCGACCCTGGTGGCCGGGGTGTCTGGTAGGTAGGGGGGCACGATCACCTCCTCGGGTTTATAGATCAGAGGGTGCCAGTCGGGGATGATCCCCATGCCGGGTGCACCAGTGCCCCACTTGTCACAGAATAGACCCAGCCTGGACCTTGTGCAGCGGTGGGGGTCATTGAAGCCTACATAGAGCATGAAGGGCCTGGAGGGGGAAGGGCACATATTTAACAAATATTTTGGCCTCTTGCATCATTTGAGCACCACGCTAAATACAACAAAATTCAAAGTGGCTCAGAGTTGAGCAATTTCATTGGCAGGTCCTGAGGAGTGGCAATTGGAAGCAACCCCCACTTCCCCAATCCAAAAGAGAAATGCAATTCTTTTAGTCCATTTGATTTCTCCTCCCCACGTAAAAAGCCCCAAAATGTAACCCCACTCCTAAGAAAGGCCACAAAAGACTATACAACATTTCAAAAATTTTTGGGCCCAAACAACAATTTAAGGCCCCCTAAAAAAAGATTCTAGATCCGCCCTTACATACTGTTAGGCTTGGTCATCAACGCAAGAGGCAGGGCATACAGTCTCATTGAGCTGTGACATGCAGTATAATCCACTGCCATGTTTTGTGGCACTCGATTTTACTGCACTTAGCAATGAGCAAAGCAAATACCTCCATTTACAACTTACAATTCATTATGAGGAGTGTTGAGCAGCTGTACATCTTGAACAGTTTGGACACATATTAAGAAATAAAACACTATCTAAAAGAGGGCAACTTGCATTCATAAATGGACTTGTTAAAAACCTATGCACATTGACCATGAGGGAATCCGATCTATCTTTTCTAGTTTATCCTTTGTCTTTTTTCAATACGTGTGTAATGTAGTCACAGGACTGACAGACGATATAACAGTAGACTTAACCAAGTCCTCTGGTGGTTGAAGTGCCTTACTTGGTAGGGTCCATGCTTAAGAAAGTGCGTACAAACTCCTTCATGCGAGTGATGTTGCGGGCACACTGGAGCATGGGGTTGTTGAACTCTGTTTCCTCGTAGTCAAACTTGTAGACCTCGGGAGGAGCTACATGCTTCTTGCCTATGATTGCTGTAAAAACGAACCAGTAACACAGCATGTCTTTAATTCGCTAACCCTGAAACCTTTGGCATTTTCTGCTCGGCACAGCATCAGCTGAGAGCTAACCACACCACGCTTGAACATGACATGGTGTGTTTTTTTGTGCAACACCATGTATGTACATGGAGAGAGTGCAGAAGTGAATATGTCACACACACAGTTACGTGTGTCAAAGGCATGAGCGCGACAACCAGCGCGTGAACCAACACGCGTGCGTACTCCATTCGTTTGCACTGCACTTTCTGGTTCACAGTGACACTTCGGTACTCTATTCCGGCATGTTTGGTACATGACGCCCTTTGCTACGGGCGCGCAAGAGCCCAGTTGAAAAATTTCTCACCAGTCTGTCTCATCTTTGCTGACCAGGCTGACCTCTAGTCAGACCAGACCAGATTGGATAAAGTCCCTTTATTCTGTTACAACGAATGAAAGTGGAAATCAGCCAAAGCTTAGTTTATGAGACTCTACTCCTTTTTATTGCACTATTCGCAACAATTAGTGAACAAGCTTTGCCAAGAACAACAAAGTTTCTGCAATTGATGGTTAGCATGGATCACAAGCTAGTAGGGAATTTTGGCTTTTGTCTTCAAGGATACATAAAAGACACTGTTTAGTACAATAGTGATAATAAATATTACTATATTTATATGATAGCACATGCTTCTTTTAAGTAAATTCTTTAATTATCCAGGGTCAAGTTACACTATTTTTTTCAGGCACTTACATACTCGGCCCTCAAGTGCAAAACTGGGATATGCCTGATAAAACCTGTGCTAATTTTGCTGCAATTGGTTTGTGACATCTTAAGCATAAACTGGCCTTAACCACTTGCTGCCGGGGAACCCCATTTTGAGCACCAAGGGTTTATACGCAGAGCCGGGCTGCCCGAAATCAGACAAAAGAGCTGGTCCGTGTACATGTAACAAAAGACAGTACTCAGAACAAAAGACCTGCCGCTGGGAGTTGCCATCATTTTTTGTCTTGCATTTTTTGCGGGTAATCTGTCACTGTTTTGAAACAGTATCTCTACTGTTTTGGGCATAGTGCGTCCGCGGATTAGCACCGTGGACAAAAAGCTCCAGGGCCCATTGATGAATGACACAGCACCGCTGAATGCTAATCCAGCCACGTTTGAAAAGACGCCACTCGCATTCACAGAGGACAAAGGAAATTATGCAGCACCTCACAATTCTGGACTCTCTTTTACAGGGCGGCTGACCTGGCTGAAATACTCAGGAGTCAATGAAGGTTGCCTGTCAGCTCAGAGTAGCCACCCAACAGTCATTTGTGAGGATGTAAACGTCCATTAAATGAAATGATGAAATTTTGCAAAATTTTGAAAACTGGAAATCTTGAAAATCTCCCATACGTGTGCACTGCGTTTTTAAAAGCACCCGGCAGCACATATGAAGCCAGAAATGAGACGGCCGAATCCATACAGTCTTCCTTGTAGCACTGCTACACTGCTGCAGAACTGAACATGCACTTTTACAAGCAGAAGTTCACAGGTACGCTGTGAAAGCATCACATATCCGCGTATGCTTAGAACAGAACACCCGCAAAACTTTATAGCACGTTTTCCTCTGACATGTCTGTCTCAGGTGTAGCACCGGGTTTGTGCACAAGTCTACGGTGTAGCACTTTTTTGCTACACGCCGCAGCCCCTTCCTTTTTCATTTTTCCGTGTAGCACTGTGTACCACTGGGTTTGTGCACAAGTCAATGGTGTAGCACTTTTTTGCTACACGCCGCGGCCCCTTCCGTTTTCATTTTTCCGTGTAGCACTGTGTACCACCGGGTTTGTGCACAAGTCTATGGTGTAGCACTTTTTGCTACACGCCGCAGCCCCTTCCTTTTTCCCGTGTAGCACTGGGTAGCACTGTGCACTTGAAGGTCTGGTTCTTAGACCATCCGATCGGCTGTGCCTATATCCTATTGCATATCACCTGACTAAACCTTTCTGTGAAGCACACACAGGTTTTGTCTTCTTCGGTCTCATTTCTGTCTGGGTATGGCTATATATACGGCAGCAAGTGGTTAAAGGCCCCGGGGGAAGTAAAAGACAATATTTTATTTTAGAGATTGGAGGAAAACTATGAATAAACATTCTGGGGAAAACCCACAATATACGGTAGCGACTGAAAATCCAATTTACCGGTAGCCTGGGTGGGATTTGAACCCCTGGTCACGGAGCTCAAAGGTGAGGAAGGTACCACAACAACCAGGAAAAGCTATTATAAGGAACTGCAGTCATACCTGACCCCTTCTCCCTCCAAGAAAAAAAAAACACCACCAACCTGTCTTTATTCCGGCTGGTTTCAAAATCACCGGCAGGGCCTTCACACCCTCAAAGGACTGAAAGTGATGGGGCAGGTGCTCCAGGCCGTACATGCCATTCTGGTGCTGCGGCAGCCCAGTCAAGATGGCCGACCGACTGGGCGAGCAGCTGCTGACTGAGGTGTAGGCGTGGCGGATGATGACGCTGCTCTGTGCCAACTTGTCAATGTTGGGCGTCTTGCAGACGCTGTTGTTGTACACTTGGGTTTCAAAGCCCCCATCATCGGCTACGGTGACAGGAAGACAAGAAATGACATGAGCTGTAAGAACTGCTTGGAAATGATGACTGCTGCAGTTTTAGACCTCTTGAAACTTCTTTTAAAAAATGAGGTTTGCATTCTCGCAGTCTGAGGTTGTTCCATTTATTATGCATGTACTCATGTCTGAGCAAAGGGGCAACTCTCCATTCAATCTGGACAGGGATTGCATGTTTTTCTCCTTTTTTTGCTGCAACATGATTAAAAAACTGAAACCTTTTGGTACAGTGTGGGAGATATTTATAGCGCATAAATAGTGAAATTTCAGGCACATTTGAAGTAAAGGTTAAGAGTTTAGTCAATAATTCAGATTTTCCCCATGGATAGACCACAACACTATTTTTCCCCCTTGAGTTTCGAGTGTAAAATATGGAATATCCATCAGTTGACCAATCGGAGAGAAGAATCAAGACTCGGTGACGTCATCCCGACAGTGAGAATGTAATACGTTAAGTGAAATGCTCTTTACAGGAAATTGATAAAAATGCAAGGAACTTTACAAACAATTCTGACCCCCCCATTGCAGTGAAATAACGAATACTCAATTTTCAGCAAACATCTCAAACGAGTTTTGAGCAAAATCAACCAAGAAGCACTTTAATACTTGCAGTGAGCCAGTTTGGTATTCCAACAGCGCATGCCCAAAACGAAGTGCGTCCAGGGTCATTCAAACACACGTGTGAATCCTATTAGCACTGCCCAACACAGACTCGTGCACGTACTTTGTTCCTGGATGACCTTGCTTTTTGGAAATACCAAACTGGCTCACACTAATTTTTAAGAAAATATCTTCTTAAAAGGCTACCAGTATCATATCATAAAGTAACAATTTCACATTTTACCTCACTGTCGATGTCCGCCACAAAATCATGATTACAGAAAGCAGTGCAAATGTGAGAAATGAAGATTGCCAAAGCTGTAATTTTAGAAAGGTTAGTTTTTTACTTTAATACAAGCTGCATTTTGTAAGAAGTTGAAAAAAGAGTTAATTTTAAGCATGTCCACTCTAGTGCACCGTCATGCAGCTACATATTTAATGCACAACTTCACAAGTGGAACTGTGGGTCCATGGTTGGTTGAACCAATTGTTGAAGTGCCTGGACCAGACCAGGCCTTCGTTAGTCCGAGTAACTTGGACTCTACAACTCAGATCACCTTTTTAAACAATAAACAGGCGATCACCTTTTTAAACAATAAACAGGCAATTCGTAGAGTCCAAGTTACTCGGACGACGCCTTCGTAAGAGTTCCCTATAGGCCTACGGACAGTTTAAAAAGTGATAACATGTTCTAAAAAAGTCAAACTTAGCTGAGAAAATATGAAAACATTTACTTAGAAAACACTGTTTTAGATGAGTCTCATAGGGTTTGTGCATGAAGTGTCAAGTGATGTCCAGGTATCTCTTTCTCCAGCCTCCGGTATGCGGTTCGTCATGCCCCATGGTTATTGCCACCCTCGATTAGGCATGCCTGGCAGACAAAATCCCGAACCCCAAAGTGGGGCTGGCCATGGCCGGCTATGTCAGTAAATTGACTTGCTTGACGCATGGAGGCTTGACGCACTCAAACAGGTACAGTAATGCTACATTGTATAGCTACAGGCCTACCTATGATTATCAGAGCATTCTTCTTTGCTGGGGAACTCGCCGATGCATGCCAAAATAACAGACAAGCGATACCAAACGCTTTCACAACTGCCATGATTCGCCCAGTTTTGCCTCTGGTTCGGAAGTGTAGTGTATCAATACAATACAATAAACATACAACTTATCACCACCTCCGTGCTAGCTCTACAGCCGAGACATGTATGCAAACATTGCTTACACAATGCACGCAGTATATGGGTTTTTGTCTGGGGTTTGGTCACTTAAACAGTCAAGGACACTTCTCGATCTCATGACCAGACTTTTGGGGGGGAAACATTGACTTGCACAGATCGTTGGCAAGATGCAAAACCAAAAAAGATCGTTAGAAAAGGGACAGAAGTTAACCTAAGTCATCAAAAAAATTTAAACACGAAAATACAACTACAGATAGGAGTGTAAAAAGAAATGAAGAATAGGAAATTACAAAAGTTATTGATTAAGGTATTAGCATACTAAAGAGACTTAAACAAGTTGAAAAAATAAACGTCAGGAAGATGGCGGCGTCCATGGCCGTGTCAGATGTGGTTGGAAAAGTCACATTTCTGCGTAAGGTACCGTCATGTTTACCAATTCGCCAGCCATAACAATGAGTGAAATATGAGTATACTCGTTGACCATTTGCTGAGTGAAATGATTTTCCATGCTCCAGTATCAGTGTCAAACACGATGATTAAGTAGGTTGCCCAGTTTCCGGACTGTTGACTAAATGTGCCCTGTAATGGTAACAAAGAGCTAGCTGTCTACACGTCACGCGACTCTTCTCCACTCTGAGTCTGAATAGTTCTCGGGGTAGGCCTACAGGAAGAAAGAGTTCCATACCTGGACATCACTTGATACCCTATAAAACTGGTCTGAAAAATTCTCAGTGTTTTTAATAAATTCTTCAATAATTTCCTTGCTAGGCCTACTACAAAACTACTAGTACTAGGCTACTACTAGTACTATGCTGGCCTAAATTGCCTTTGACTTTCTTAGAACACATTTTTTCCTAAATTCAATGTACAAACAAATGGTTAGTAAACCAGTGAATGAGAAAATCAGTTATTAGTGAATAATTTTATAAGATAAATGTACCACAATTTGCCATAAATGGGCTGCATTCAAAACCCACAGTCTTCCGAGCCCGGAAAAAGTCACAGGGCTGCAAGTCACATAGAGTATTGACTTGCTGTTCTGTAAGTAGGAAGGGGTGTACAAATGTACAGCGGACACTTGCTATAATATTTTAGGGAAGGTTGTCACTTTCTGGCCCTGATGATGCTGGGGTTGACTGTGGGCCTTATCGTTAGATCATGATGTGCTGTTGGTTGGTTCTGTAGGCTGTAGTGTGGTAAGGCTGCAGGAAGTCTCAGTCTTTACTTCCCCTTTTCAAAATCTACCAGAGGACCCAGTAATTAGTGCACTGTACTCCCTTTTTAACCCTAACCCTCCTCAATCCTTCACCTGTTGGAGGACTGAGGAGTGTTAGGGTTAAAGATTTCTTACTTTGTCTTTGTCTGTTGTACATGTAGTATATTTGTCAAAGTACAAAATCACAAACAAGGAGTGCAGTGCCCTCATCACTGGGTAACAAGAGGCTTGAGTTTTAGACAGAAGATGTGATCGACTGATAGCAGCACAATTTATCAGAAGGCACCACAGTTGATAGATAGCATACTATGATCAAGAAATCATGCCAATTGACAAATTGTACAAATTAATTCAGTGCACGTATGGTACCAGGGCTTAACTGTTCCTAGTGTAAAGTTACAGGTGCCTTGCATCTGCATTTGATGTTGTTTCTGTCAGTGTTGTATTTGAGTCCATCACAATTCCCAGTAAGTCCATCACAGGTCCATCACAAGTCCATCACATATCCCTGTAAGTCCATCACAGGTCCATCACAAGTCCATCACAAGTCCATCACAATTCCCTGTAAGTCCATCACAGGTCCATTACGAGTCCATCACAATTCCCTCGTAAGTCCATCAGAAGTCATCCACATGTAGTCATAAGCCAATTCACAAGCTATTCAAATAAGCTGTGAAAAAAGCCATCTTTTGTCATTGTTCACCCTGTTACTTGTGACTGGCTTCATGAAGGTACTTGTGACTGGACTTGTGAAGGGACTTGTGATGGACTTGACCCCAACATTGGCATCTGTTGTTTCCAGTGAATGTGATAATGGACGGTTTATGTTGTACTGAACATTTGAATTGTGTAACTCTCGTTTATTTTTTTTTTTTGCATTCATACAGATTTTTTTATAACAGAATTGTCCAAGTTTGTAACCCAAAAACTTGGTTTGGAACCATCTGTTTGGAAAAGACATGGTCAATGTCAGGGCGATGTGAAACTAGAGAATAGCCCATTTGAAAAGCTTCTCTAAATGTTAAACTGCTGTCATCAGTAAAGGATATACAGATGTTTCCTTCATAAAAGCAATTTTGTTCATGATCCACTGTATTGTGCCTTTTTTCAGTTTCCTATGATAATAAAGGCAACGTCAGATGATGACACCCCTACTGCAGGCTACCTCTACCAAGAAATAGCAGGTATTTTTTTTTTCAATTTTACAGAGTCTCGTTGTATGTATCCATAGAGTCATGGGAAATTACAAAATGCAACTGTTACTGACTCAACCCCCTAACAGCGGGATTATTTTGACCTCGACTGCTGGGNTGAATAGACTGTAGGTGTGGTATGCACTAATCCTCACACAATGGTGTAGTAGTAGCAGTCCTCCGTAGCAAAGGGGTTAAAGATGCTTCAGTTTTGTGCACATTCAGTTAGAAATTGGTGGCATAAATTCAATATCACACATGTGCACGAAACAATGCAATGTGGCATTCTTCAGCTCTTTCAAGTTGGCCTCTCAGTGTCCTGTGCAGTGTGTGCATGGAGTCTACTGAAGAGATCCCGGAAATAGTTTGGTTTTGGTTCAGACAACTTTGTTTGTCATTGGGGAAGGAGAAAGAAGATACAAGATGTGGTTAAACACTTGAAAGAGAGTGACTCATGGCAATTGGTTTAAGGTGCACATTTTTGGAATCTCCATGTACGAATCTGGCACAAAAAATATAAGCATTGTGCCAGATGAGGTTCAGAAAAATTAGCCTCCAACAATTATTCCGGATAAAATTGAGCAACGCAAACTCACCATTACTGAGGGCTACATACCCTGGTTGGTATGCGTAGGGGACCACGAGAGTCTTTGCCACTAGTTCATTTAACATTCAGTTTCTTGTGTCCTGGGAACAGATCTTACGTATGTCTCCAGCAACTACTGCAAGTCACTGCTTGACATTCTTGTGGACAGACTGGACAAACCATCTCACCACATCAAGTTCAAGGTGAGTACCTCGGAGTGTTGGTGGGATGAATGATATCATATTGTTAAATCTTTTTGTGTTTCCCACGGTGCCATGTGAGTAGTAGATTTTTCCTGAACAAATAAAACAATTCATTGGATGTAGTGAGATTGACTTATAGTTTTGGTCTCCAACTAATTAAATCTGTCATAGCTTTAGTTTTGATTTGGTGTGATTTCTGAGATAGTGGAAGCAAAGATGGTTGTCTTTTCTATCGTTTGCATTATTTTGATCATGCACATATTGGCTATGAGCATGGTGCGAATGATAGCAACAGACTGGTTGGTTTGCAGCCACGAAGCATCTTACAAATCTCTTATTGTCCGATTTTCACCGTCACAGTTATTTCCAAGTGTGTGTTCCTGTCTTTGATTGATCTGTGCAGGTGTTAAGAGTGATGAAGTATGTTATTGAAAATGGCAGTGAGGAGTTCCACAGTGGTTTATTGCGGCGGTCCACTGGAATTCAGCTTGCCACTCGTAAGTTTCAGTTTGTCCAATACGTGACTGCCAAGTTTGCAGTCACTTGAGTTTTGAGTTGCAGAAAAAAAAAGAACCAAAGCTTGATGTGGAGTAGAGGTTTATTTGGGCAATAACACACACGAACAATTATTTCTCACATTTTTGACATTGTGGGCAATAACAAGACATTTGTGTCACCATTCACCCACCAAACAAAAGCAAAATCAACCAACTTTATCCAGCCCAGCCAACATAATTAAATCTTCACAGAAACAGTCCCTTAACTGATGCTGACCAAACAGCCAGCCTCCTATTTTAATGGAATTCTGACCTGGAAAGTTTGAGAAACAACTACGACAAAAGATGATTAATTGTAGAATTTTCTAGAATTCTAAAGCGGCTTAATATTACCTATCAAAAATGCACCGCACAAAATCAAGTGTAGCGTGGTACCTTGCATAACTTAAAAGAGAAATCTTTGCTGCTCTTTTGTTTCTGTAAAATTTCCCAGAATTCAGTGGACCACCTGATCCCCTCCATGGCAATGCTCCATATATTGCAGTCCGGTCTGCTGCAAAGGTGAGAACTAGGGTCAAACAAGGCTGAGTCTGAAATGGCCACTTTTTTCCTGCAGCTTCTGTTTAACCATATTGTTTAACCAGTAACCAGTCCCACAGAATTGCTAAGCATATAACTTTGACTACTACAGAAGTAGCTTTGTGAAATTTAGCCTGCAGGATATTGGGGACAGTTTTTCAACATTTGTTCTAATTTGGAAAAAGTTGTTTGTTCCATTGTACTGTTGCCCCTGAATCCAGCAGGTTGAGCAAAAGTGTCTTCATTCGAAATAATTGTTACTCCAAGAGACAGCTATACACCCTCTGGCTCACACGCTGGCAAGAATTGCCTAAACCACTGTTGCTCCATTCTTGCTTTCTTCATGACTGACTGCACGAAATACTTCTCGACCCTGGAGATATTCATAGTGTTTGCCATTATCACTCATCCTGCCAGATTTCCTTGACTTTTAATGACATTTGTAAAAAAAACAAGCACCTCAGTTAGCTTTGGGTCGGTAGATGTTTTGGAGAAAACTCCTCCAGTAGTTACATTTTTCCAGCCAACATTACTAAATATTTGTCTGTGAATAATTGAAAAACCCACAAGAATTTGTGCGATTTTGCCAATACCCTTGTGTGCATTAGGAGCTCTCAGAGGTTTTGTTTGACACAGAAAGATCCAGAAACAAAGAACCAAATCAGAACAAGGAGACAGCAAGGACCAGAGGATTAGGAACAAGTCAAAGTGGGAGCAGCATGGAAGGGTTTGGCAACAGGGGGGTGTCAGTACACAAAGAAAGTAAGACCCAGTAGGGATTTCATTTTTGTGGACCCTAATTTCGACACATGGAACTTTTCACTAAGTGTCACTAATTTGGAAGAAAATGCCTTTCTCGTAAGGATTAGTGAGGAATTGTAATTTCGAACTTTTGTCCAATCACATCGTATTTAGCATTGGTCCAGGCTAGTTGGTAGTGTTACGGGGAAGAAGTGTCGATAGGTACAAATTGAAGCATACTCACCATTGCCCATTCAGGTACAATGTTGTGAGAGTTAACTCTAAACTTGCCTTGGCTTTGGGTCTGTGTCAGTGTCAGAAGATATGGTCTGTTACATCTGGGCTCCTAGTCACATTTAAATGTTCCCATTATTGCTAATTGCTTTCAACCTGTAAATAAGCCAAAATGACTCTGTAAACTGTAAGAAAATGTTGATAGCTTCATGTTTTAAAGTTTAGGGAGATGCGCAACCAGCAGGTTAAAATGGATTTTTGTAGTTTGTGTTAGCTGATATAATTGCATAATACAAAGGAACTCATTCTTATGTAGAGCCAAAACATGATGTCATGCTTTGTTTACATGTGCGTCCTTCTATGTGGGCTTAATGAATCGCATCCCACCTCACTGCTGTACAAGCACACATAAACAAAACTTGACATCATGATCTCCGACAGAATCATTGGGTGACACCATTAAAGAGGGCTTCCGACAGCTCACCGACTCTTTCCGGGAACCATCGTTAACGGTAATCCACAGCCAGCCACAAAGTGACTACAGGCCCCTGGGAGGTCCTGAGTCAGACCGCTCTGCCCAGACCCCGTTCTTATTCCCTTCCGGAAGGCCAAAGACTTCGATGGGGGCGGAGCCTCTGGATGGGCGAGGGGAGTACAAGCCAGTGGTGATTGATGACGGGGAAGGGTCAAGGATCCGAAGCTGCCCACCGGGCAATAGGGACGTGAGGCGGCTCACTTCGGGTAAGACATTTTATACCTTGGTGGAAAGTGTAAACGTTACTCTCAATTTGTCATTTGTTTACGGAATTGCTTTTTGGGAAACTATATCACATCAATACATATAAAAGTTTGATTTGAGGGAGGTGTGTGTGCACCTTTAAAAGTTTGGCTTAATAGATGTTTTACCAAAACCACCAAAAGCCTGTATCCACTCCACTTTGTGAGATCCGATTTTTGTGACATAAAAATCCCTGTTTCTCTTTTGAAAATTCCTTTTATGGAGTAGTTTTTGAATGGTAATTCATCTAAACTTGAAGGACACAGCCTGATATGCACCTTTTCATCAAAACGTCAGCAGTGAGTAATCAAATGGAACACTGCCGACTCTTCATCAATAGATCTTAATTAGTACAACCATTAACTCCCCTCCCTTTGTAGTGCACAAGCAAGGAAGACCAGCAGGGGGCTGGGAGGACAGTTTCGGAGGGCGTGGCAGCAATACATCGAACAGCGATGGACAAAACAGTGGAGACAGCACTGATCTCTCTGAGAGGTTTATTGAAATAATGCTGATTAATTTTTAAATTTTTCTTTTTAAACTGATTTTGGAAGTTCAGATGAAAAGGGGGAATGGAGAAGGGAAAGCATTTACTTAGAAGGTAGCAAATGTTCAGGACCAGGTTTTTTAGATGTTAGAAAAATTGGGGGATATTTTTATTTAACATACAGTCATATTGCTGTCAGTTTGTCAGGAATATATACATTATACCTGTAAGAAATAGAACTTTGAGTGAGTCAGAACAATTGTATTATGATAGAACTTGAGTGTAAATCTTTGTGATATTGTGCTTGAGGTCAACGTCCCTTTTGTAGATATTTAATTCAATTTTTGAAGTTTAAGTGGTAGTTTTAAGGAAAATTCCTACAGAAAACCAGTCTTTTATAGTGAAATATGTTTTCTTTATGGAACCCATGGCAACTTTTGCAATGCTTTTGATATTCAGCGACATTTCAATTAATCAATTCTGTTCCTTTTTATCACATTCAAAGCTGACAATGGTTTCTTGTGTTTTGAGTGCCAAACAAGAAATGACTTGAAGATAGAAAGAGAAATTTCACCCCCTCGCCGTTCTTATGGTTTTTTTTTTAATTTCAGGTTAGCATCAGTGTCTGTGGAGGATGTCTCCATGGAAACCAAACTGGTGGAGGACTTTGTGTGTGCTACCGATGACAAACCAACACCTTCGAGGGACGTACTGGCACAGTTTGTCAAACGGTGAGTCATTTTATCTCAGCGGCCTTCGGGGAAATTCTGACCGCCATCATTAAATTAAGAGCCCCTTGCTTGGTTTGGTTGAGAGAGAGGCTCCGCTTGCAAGCTTCAACCGCTTGAAATAGTTTCTTACATTATAACTTACTGGGCTGTGCAGTAGAGTCTCAACTCCTGTACTTGCAATGGGGGCCTTTGAGACGCTGGTGGCAGCAGACATACCGGTCCTGTTTCACAGTCTCGCGTGTGCTCAGAACTGTGCAATCCTGCTCAGAATAGTGTGTGCATGCTCAGAACTGGTGAAGAGGACTGGTATGTTTGCCGCCACCAAGTGTCTCAAAGTCTGCCATTGTCTTACCAAGGGAAAAGAGAATTTGAGTTCAATGCTGCTAAACCAGTGCCTCACAACAGTCATTTCCACTTTTCGCTGTTTCAGCTGTGCCACTCTTAATTGTGAGAAGGTAACAGAGTTGTTAGGTGTGGAACTTCAATCCACTTCAGCTCTTGTCCAAATGGTATGTTAGTTCTTATTATGTTCTCAGACTCGTATTGCCAAGAATATCCCCAGCACATCAGTCTACATTATGTCTAAAACCCGTAGTTCAGTTTTAATAGTATTGAATCTTATTTGGATTAACCCTAACCCTCCTCAATCCTTCATCTGTTGGAGGACTGAGGAGTGGTAGGGTTAAGCATGGCAAAGGTTAAGACTTCCCAGGACAAATTCATTTTCTGAGATGAAGTTCTTTTTAAGTCTGTCAAGTACACTGACACAAAAAGTGGTATAGTGGAAGTTAAGCCGGAAAAAAACAGTGTGGGTTGAGTAATCAGGCTTTGAATAATGGGTAGCAGTCTTTTGAAAACATGCCAAAAAGTGTCAAAGTATTTGCAAAATGACTTGGACTCATGCGAGGTAACCTCAGGACTTTCATTTTACCCTGCTGTATCACTTTCTATTCAATAACAGTTGAAAACCTTGAAAGATGTTAACTAAAGTTCTTGTGAACTTCAAGTTCACTTTTAAAATGACCGTCTGGCTTGTTTTCGAAATTTGATTGACTAGGTGTGGAGATTCTTTTCCTTAAATGCTAGTTTTGGTTTGGGGACCCATGTTGGATAAAACTAGTGCATACATACCAATTCATGAAGTTTTAGAGTTTCACTTTTTTTGTAAATTAATGTCGGCAGAGATGTCTTTATGCCCTGGAAGCCCTGATACGGGAAGACATAGCATCAGCTGAGCATCTTTCCTGTTTCATCCCAACTTCCCTTAAGAAGGTACAGGCTGAAGCAACAGACAGGCTTCTACAGGCTAAGGCATCCAAGGTAGACTGTTCTTCTTTGTACCTGGGCAAATGTCACAATTCTGCCTCATGACAAGCAAAAAAGGGGATGGGATGAGTCATGCTTAGTTTGTTCTTAGCACCTCCAAGTGATCTGAATTTGGAAAGCAAGTGTCATGTCACATGGGACAGTCGGTGCAGCCCTAACCCTTGTGGTTTTATTGCTGTCACAAAAAACTGTGTAGGATTGGCGAGGCTAGGGTTCAGTTTTGTTTGATTTATGTGGGTGTACTTCAATGCATTTCATGCAACTTCCAAGGTCACAGATATTCCAAGTACTGGCAAGTTTCAAGGTTACCGTCCTCGAACTTTATGCCTCTTTAAAACCGCTCGGAACTAGTTGCCACATCTACCATGTAGTAAAGCAATTTTATTCAGCTTTATCACTACAAGACATCGGACACTTACACTATCCTGTATGAATTCACGTAAGGCTGACCTTCTTTGATTGTTAATTTTACTTCAACATTCCCTTTTACACTTCTTACTGCGAGTTAATCTAGTCACAGTTAGAGAAATTATGCCCAGATTGTTGAATTGTAACAAGAACCGTATTCTGCTTTTGAGATGGAATTGAATTCTTTAAAAGGCATTAACCTTTTTTGCAATTAATATCACTTTTTATTTTTCAGAACCGTTTGTCATTTTTTTTCTTCTTTTTTCTCTTCCCCTCCTCTTACTTTGAAGATTTTAAGGCAACTGGAAAGACTTCAAGAAGAGGCCACTGCAACTAAGTTTTCTAAGGTTCAAGGAAACTCTACAACTCATTCAAACCAAGACTCAATTCTCAGTGTACTGCAAACAGGCATCTCAAATAGCCCACCAACAAGAGGAACAGAACGTCGACAAATGCCCATCTCAAATACCGAGGGATTGTGGGCAACTCAAAAAGATAATTCATCGCCATTGAATGTAGTGGAGAGCACCTCTAGTGTTTCCAAAGGCTCCGTGCAAAGTTCCAGGTCACTCTTTGCTGGCATGGACGTGGGGTCAGCATTGCTAAAGAAAGAGCCCGAAGTGCAGGGTGTTGTTCAAGCGGACAAGAAATCTGGACACAGGTGGCACAAAGATGGAGATAACAAGAGCAGGTGCATTCAGAAGGGAGATGCCCAACTTCTTGATGACTTGCTTGACTTGTCGTCTACCAACCAGCCTACGCTGGTTCCTGAACCAGGGATGAGTGTAACGAGGGTTCTCAGGACAAATCTTAACCAATCTAGGGAACTTTCTGATTCAGTTCTTTATATTAATAGCAAAACTGAAGACCAGATGAAAAAAAACAATGGAAAAGGAGCTGCCAATACTGAGGATGGAAGAACATCATCAACAGAATCCAAACAGGATATCCAGCCCAAAGTAGCTACAGGTACATGTAGCAAGCTTGAAGGCACAAATGTAACGACAATGCCAAACCAGCCAGATTCCATAATGTCTCGTAATGCCAACTTTCAGGACCTCATCGCCGCAACTGGGATTACGGTAACCAGTGGAAACGTCAACAGAATAACTCCTGTTGTGGAATCACCAAATAGTCAGCCTTCCCAACCCCAACCAGGGCATTCACAGACAGCTGCTCTTAATGCCGACCAGATTTCCACGTTGTACCCCCAGCTGGCTGGTGTGGTGTTGAGTGGCTCATCGGCTGTCCCTCTAAAACTCAGCCGGAGGCCACCAGAAGGAAATTTTGCCTTTGTTTCTTCAAGAGACGATGGAAAGGATAACTCTCAAAGACCCAGTAGCTTTAATTTCGTAAAAGACGCCATGCTGGCCAGCAAGAAATGAATCAGTGCTAATGAACAAGTGCCATGTCTTGCCGATGTAATATTTATCTCTGTGCAGTTAGTTATCGTTTGAAATGATGTTTATCATTTTGGATTTTTTGTGGTTACAGATTATTTTCTCAACAGTCCTGTCAAGTGAAATGTGAACGCCAACTTGAACAAGGACCCAAAGCATCACGAGTACTCTAGCTGTGTGTTCTCAGAAACAACTGTTACATGATCATGACTCCCAGGCAACAACAGACGTTTGAACCTCTTTTTACCAAAATGCGAACAGCTGCCCCTCACGTTGTCTTTGTCATCTTGCCGCTCGAGTTTACACACATTTGATTGGATTCAACTTTAATCTTTACCCACAACCCCCTGGTTTGATACTGCATGGCTCGGCCTTCAGTCTCCCATCAAAGGCTTGTTTCGTACTCACAGGCTTGTGCTTAGATTGTATCCATCTTGGACTTGGGTGCGATTAGCCCAGATTCCGACTTGCTACATTACATGCTTTTTATTTTGAATACAAGCGGAGGCATTAAAAACTGCTAAATTCCAAAGATGTTAAATTAGGGAACTAGGACATTAAAGTTTGATTTTTCACTGGTTTTATTTTCTAACCCTGAACACAAAGGCACTGTTCAAAGTTAACACAAAACATAGGAGTCACAAAGAAACAGTCTTTTCCAAATTAAATAGTTTATTACAATTTGTTTCATGCTGAATGTCAGTTGACACACCAGATGTCCAACACGCAATGTGGTATCGGCACGCACATGTGTGTATTTTGCCAAGAATTTACAGCATCAGCAAACAAATTGACACTACTGGCACCTCGTTTCTTGTGCTGTTAATTTGACAAATTCCAGTAAACTGTCTCTTATATCGACGACGACAGACTTGCATTCATGGAGAACCCTAAAGTCTGCATGTTAATCAGCTGATCATTTGTCATTTTATCTAATAAAAGTTTTTATACCTTTTAGATCCATTGGTGACCAAATTAAATATAAATGTAGTTGTAAAATGTGTCCACTGTTCTGATGGAGAGCCTACCCTGTGTTCAAACCGATGACAAAGGTATCCTCTGGTGAAACTTGGTCAGACTTCTTGGTAACATTATGTTTTGTTGAATATACATGCAGTAGCTATAAAGATGGTCGACATTGAAACACATTTAGGAAAACTACAAACTTTTCACAAATTAACAGTCTTCATCAATTTCATGCAAAAACCTGACCCTGGCTTTAATGGCCGATCAGAAAATGTGTGAGAACTCTTCAGTCTAGCCAGCAGTAACCTGAAAATCTCCAGTTGAACCAGTTTGGTGAAAATGGTCATGCTCTCTTTCCCCAAAGGAAACGGTTCTCCAAACTAGTTCTAGAACTTATCCTGATGTCCTCAAACAATGGGGGGAATAACAAGTTAATTTTGCCATTGAAAATGAGTATGAACAAACGTTACAGCAAACAAAAACATCTCGATTTAATAAGTATTCTTGAATCTAAGATCATTTCTTCTGGAAGTGTTGAAAAGACGCACACGTTGATTCACTGCACATCATTCACACACTGCATAGGGGTTTCAAGCCAGATGGTTACCAGTGATGTTTCCTGAGACGATGATGCTCTATTGTAGAACAAGAAAAAACATAAAGACTATGAGTTTATGGAGAACTGAGGCATTCCAAAAGTAATTGGAATTCTGAAACACAGTTGAAATACTGAAGTTTTTAAGCAGACAAATCCAAAATACTATTAATCTATCAAGTTCCTCTGCCACCTTTTAGAGCATTTTGATACCATTACTTAACATGGGCCTTCTTGACCCAATTTTTGACAAAACTATTGGCTTTACACTCCACAGCAGGAGTTTGCTGGATTTAGGGTTTTGCGAAAATACCAGATTAGAAAGGAAGAGGAGCGCTCATGCGTAAGTCAAGTCAGTCATGGGCAATTGTGGCTCAGTAGGCCCCCCTCGTTTCTCCAGTTTCAGTAAAATGCAGTGATAGAATACTTCTGTTCCTCCTGGATGGCTGGATGGGATGCTGCAGGCCAGGAAGCCTTTGTACTCCTGGGTGGAGAGAGAGACGAGTCCGGGGAGGGGGGTAAAGTAGCTTGCCTGGGGACACAACATGCAGCAAGCAGCTGGATTTGAACCCCTGACCTGCCGATCCCAAGTTGTGAACCATTACACACTTGACCACACTCTCCAGTAAGCAGTAGCCTGTGCAATGTTTTATTTGCCATATACTCACTCTCTCCTTTGTATCGCCAAATGTAGCTGACAATGATGCAGACGGCAACAAACTGGCCGACTGGAGCCACGCCCGTCTTCCTTACATTGACATACTTATGGTAATACCGGTTTTTGCCTGTACCAAATGACAAGAAAATAAAAACCAGTAAGCACCCCTCAATTTGTACACCCAACTGATTTTGCCACTGGCATGAACAGCTACCAAGTTGTGAGGGACTACTTAGCACAGAAATATTTGCTTAGGTAAAGCAGCTTACAGACCGAAATGTGTAACCGATCACAATGTCTGTGATTTTTTGCTAATTAGACAAATTTTCTATGTGTGGTACTATTTCCTGCTTGAAGGCTTTGTGCTTTTGGGCCCAAGCTTACCAATCCCGACAACCTTAACCAGGTAATTGGGATATCACACACAAGCTAAAGTCTGGAAATATCCTTACACTTTGACTGATTTTTCCTTACAGGTTTCTCCAGGCTTGTAGGCAGCAGTACCAAATGGTTTTTGAGGAATTATTGGACTTGTTTCCCAAAGTCAACCATCTCCACATTTAAGCCTTCTGTGTGGGCACTTTGTAAGGTTAGCTTTATTATAGGCTTGGAAGTTATGAACTGTACTTTGATTCGTCATCAAGCACCACTTATCTGACTTCATGTTTCCTAACTCAGTGTGTGTTAAAACCATATTGAAATCAGAGGATTTCGACCTGTTACAGTTAAAGTTCAGGAAGGAATCGGTTACTTTGCCAAGCTTCTTTGAAACAAACCTATAGTCCAAGTCAAAAGATAGAAGCCCATAGTCAATAAAGCTCTGAAGTTTCTTTGTGACCTCTGACAATGCAAAGCTATGCCAGGTTACAATTTGAACCAAGGTAACAGCCACAACACCAGGAGCCTTGGGTGGACTGGAACCTCTCACCATTTGTATTATATTTGTACTTCCTCTTGCAGCAAAATTGACCATATTTACAATATCAGGTCATTTCTTTGTTAAGGAAATGTTTCTATAGCACTACTGCTTGGCCTGGACCACAAGTAATTGTCAGCACAGGTTCAAAAATAGTGCATGAAATGGAGAAATTGTGATAGGTATGTTATTTTTCAAAATTTAAAACCCTGAATCCTGTTTCACCAAACAAAACCCCACATTGCAATCTGTTTCACACTAAGTCACAGAAGTAGTCAAGTTTATACAGCTAATCAACATAGTATTTATGCAGTGCCTCATTTCAACATCCCCTCCTCAAACACAAAGTGAAGAAGGGATTTTGCCATCTACTTTGAGTACTCAAAATGTGTCATACTTTTGTAAAAATCAACCTGCCCTGTACTTTAACCCTAACAGTCCCAAATCCTCCAATTTCAATATGATTTTACATACACCCTAGGGGGTTAGGGTTAAGGTAAACGTGACTGTATGTACCTCGGATAACGGCACCCCACATGGAAAAGGGCGAGAAGCTACACGATGCCAGCCAGCGTGGGAGCTGGCCTAGCTTCACCTCGCTCAGTCTCAACTCTGATACAGCTGTAACCAGAATGAAAAATAAGAACTAGGTATATACAACTCTAAGGAGACGTTACAACCACAGCGGCACTGCACTAACAGGTGCTTCCTTACATGTCTGAAGGTTGACTCGAGCGTGCTTTGGGCAAATCGTGACACCTTCTTACTCAAAGAGGCATGCAGCATGTAGGTATCACCTCCCCACTTGTAAACGCTATGTCACCGCAGTGATGGCTTCTAATTCTAGTTTTCAAATTTTTTTTTTACTTTTTTTTTTTTTTTAGTTCAAGCAGGGGATTAGGCTCTTGACCGTGAACCAGTCCCTGAATTTTGCTTTTTTGTGCATTGGAAAATGCACAGCAACTAAGCACACAAACATGGCAAAAGAGACTGGAGAAACGATGAGCCCAGACCAGTCACAGGCTTCACTACATCAATTTTTTCATGCCAGCCTTGCAGGCGAGGCACCTTACTATATACTAGCCTACATAATTAGTGTGGTGACTGAAGAATCACTTGGCTGTGGCCTGAAATTACACACGAGTCTTATGGTACTAGTCACTACGGGTCACACTAATTACCATCAAAATGCAACAGACTGTCAACACACCATCAACACAGCGTCAACACCTTCAAAACATGTTAAAAATCAAAAGAAGCGGTACTCAACGGTAAAGTTTTTGCCGAAAGGATATTTTGGCTAAACCTCAACAGGTTAGACTCGGGAAAATTGTCTTTAATTTGGCCAAATCGTCTCCTTAACCCTTTGAGCCTTAAAAGTATCTTAATTTACAGCATATCCACACCTAAATGGTACAGTCCAAGCTTCATGAGGAGGCAAGATGGTGGTGAACAGTAGCTACACTGCTACTTTTCTTCCTGTGAAAACACTCCATTTTGCAAATTGATTTGTGACCTCCAACTACTGGAAAGTCTCTTGCAGGGAAAAAATGTTGCATCCTTCCTCCACTTTTCTCATCACATATCATTTCAATAAAAGACTAAGTCAGCCAAGACAGAAATGCTGGAAAGACACAAAATTCTGGACTGAAAAACATTTACCGATGTTGTTGGGAAATACTTAGAAAATTCTCTTCACTCTCAATAGACTTTGTACACAACTACTGAAGTGGAGTCAGGATGCAACATTTTTTCTGACAGTAATTAGTAAAGGTGTCGGTCACTTCACCCCATTTCCACTTCACCCCATTGATTATCGTTCATTCTGTTCTTCAGTAGGCCTAAATGCAACAAGTAAAAACATCGACGTTTGAGTACCCAAATAACGATCAGATAATCCAACTTTCAAAGGCCTAAACAATGATTCCAATTTCCCAGCTGCTGGACCCAAATTTTTTGGCGAGACCCTAAAATTTTTTTTTGGCAAGTTAGGAAAAAGGTTTTCTTCGTGTTTCGTTGTCCCTGTGGTAAAAACACAAGCGCAAAGCGCTGGTTCCTGCCGCACCGCACCTGTGTAAGAGAATGCGTGATGGAGTGTGGCGTCCAGTCTATTCATGCCGCTGCAACAGTTCATGTACGTGATCCGTCACGCATCGAGAAAAATCGATGTTTGCAAGATTAATTCTCAGTATCTTGTCTATGTGTGTATTTATTTATTTCATCAGTTTAATTTTAGGTTGTTTTGTTTGTACTTGAAGCGAGCATGTTTCCACAAAATTTCCTGCGCATCAAGCTTAATCCGATCGCCCGGGTATAGCTGTCTGGATGCATTGACAATTACCAGAACAATGTGAACAGAATTATGTGTGTCGCTTTGAAAGAAACTTGAAAAGGATGAGAAATAGCCCCGATACTAGTCCAACCATATGCATTAATTTACCATGATGGACAACGCATGTGACATGCCTTAATGCCTTAGAGTTTACTACAATAACTAGGCCTAGGCCTGTTTATCGTTACCATGTCGTTTCATGTCGTTTGTGGAATTCCTCGACCATTTTTTGAAGAGGCTTGTAACACACTCAAAACAGACGGCAAAGTGGAAATGCATGGGGCAAAGTGGGGTGGGGGGAAGTGGGTAGGGGCGATGTGGAAATGGGACGAAGTGACTGCAAACTCCAGCAAGACCCACCATTACTACTGCCTACCGGCCATGCCGACCACAGTTCCCATGGCCGTAGAATCGTGTAATTTCAAGCAATAGCCGGCCCAAGTAGGCCTAACTAGTGTTAGTCATGTTAGGCATTGTTAATGTTAGTAATAATGTTAGGCAAGTTAGGCCGCGGCCGAGTCTTCCTAAAAACTCTTTAAAAGGGTATAAAGCACACCAGTATAAATTACTTGACATGTAAATATGTATATTTCTAATAAGTTCAACGATTAAAATAATTAAACGTAATTAGACAACCGATTATCTGCTGGAACACACAATTTGTCAATAGTTTAGGTGCGAAACCTACCGGTTTTGTCCGCCATGATGGAATCATGTAGTCCCGCGTATGGATATTATAAAAAGATATGCCCTTTGGAAAGACAAAGCTAGACTGTTTTAGAGCAATCATTCATTTTTTTCTGGCAATGTCTAGAGTTTAAAAAAAATTAAAAACAAAACTTTTTCCAAATATAATTCACCTTTTACAGACCGGGTACTATTTTCTTTCTGTAAACAAATAATTATTTTTGGGTAGAAAATTGAAACAGCGCCATCTGTTGACTCTTTGGAAGCTAGGTTTAAAAAGAGTGTTGTTCAGGGATCAGTAACATGCAAGACAACATCACCGTGGTTTCTCAAACAAAAATTGAATTATTGTTTCATTTGTCTTTCCATTTCTTTTCAGTTTATGATAAGCAAATTACATTTTTAGTTATTCTCACAAAACAAAATCACCCCTAAGTGATAGTTTCCAACCTGCAAGCAATCCTACTAGTCGGGCACTCAGAGGTTAGAGCCATTTTTGACTGAATTTTATTACCAGTTCTGCCCTTAGATGGAAGCCTAAAGAACGGGAAGTTGAAACTGGCGAATATTTACATAGTATTACCACATTTTTGTCCAAGAAGTCTCCTTTTTCAAAAAAAAACGGGGGGGGGTTCATGCTAATGAGCCTGGGCAGAAATTATCAGTTGACTCAGTGGACTGCAACCCCAAGCGACTGCTTCATTCCGATCCTGCTTCCATGCCATGCGTGCTTTTAGTACTTTTGGTGGGCAAATTGAAATGAATGGAAGACGTTCTGCTTCATTTTATTTTCAAAATTAATGCCAGTAACAGCCGCGATGAAAGAACCCTCCCACCCGGCACTACGTTTTTATTGGGAAGTGTTAAGACGCTAGCGCATGCAATGTCAGAACTATGGATCAAAACGTTTCTCCCATGATCTCTATTAGACTTCATTATGGAGAACAGTGGTAAGTTCTCCCATCCAATTCCCCTCGGAAAAGACTGCGACGCCGGCGAGCATGGTTAGCGCTAACGGTCCCGGGATGAGATTGGAAGATCTACGGCCGCGGCCCGGTGGAACCGATCTTATAGTGCCCCTCTAAGAGTTTGCAACGCGTCAGCCAATCTCGTTGCACGAAATCTGTCGACCCAGTGCGCATTTGAAAAGGTCGACAGATTTCGTGCGTTGTGATTGGCCAACGCGTTGCAATCTCTTGGAGGCGCACTATTGTGAATCACTCGTATTTATAAGGTCAAGCCTTGCGGTTGCAGTACGTGTCTGACCAATACCTAGCGAAAACTCTCACTGGTGCATAAGACTATAACCCTGAAGGAGCCAGGGGCGGAATCCGCCCCTGGCCCTCAACATTTTTACCGATATCACTGCAGTGCATTTTTTTCAGGAGTTGGGACTCGACAGATGACATCAAGATGAAAGTCGTCCGTGCGCCAGTTTCAGACTTATTATAAAAGAGCCCTCCTATCCCATTATGTGACGTAGCTTTAATCTTCTTCTGTATTTACGGTTAATATCTCCTCTTATCTTATTACCTTTTAGTCGTCATCATACAAGTTTGTACCGATAATGTTTTGGTCAGTTTTTGTCTTGTCTTTATGTTTTGTACGTCGTATTGTTTGTTTTGTTTTTGTTTGCTGTCTCGTAGTTGTTCGTGTTGTCCTTGTTATGTCTTCTGTCTTAAGGGCTGTTTATACAAGCCTCTGCTTATTCAACAGCCTCATGCTCTTTTCTTTTCTCGTCTGTACATGGACTGGTTTCCTTATCTTATGTTCTAATGCTCTAATGTTCTCTTCTCATTAAGCACAAGTATTTATAAAAGTTATTCTCATCCTCATTGCTAATTTCAATGTACTAAGTTTTTTAAATTTCTGGTGTATTTTCTTAAACTTACTTATTTTGTCAATTTCTATGCATCAACTTCTCTTAATTACTATAATGTTTCTAAAAGAGTATGGAATAAACGTTTTCTTGAATTGAATTGACTTTAAGAGTTTTAGACATGTTAGAGTAACTCTTTGCGGTCATTTTGACAACAATTTTGCTAAAATTGGATATACCTTTCCACTCAATGCTCAACGTACTAGGGCTGGCACATGTGTAGCTTTGAACGCCAAATGTAATACCATACGTCTGATTGAGTTCAAACTTAACATTATTATGTTATGATAGAGTGTTTTTACATGCATGTCAAGTTTAAAAATTGGACAGACTGAGGCAAAGCTCTTAGGGGTCAATATCCACCCCTTCCCAGCTGTGAGATTGGCCAAAATAACCAGGCTCTTGTTAAGGGTCAATACGCCAGAGCAAACCGTTCTCGGTGGCGGTGAAGCTCAAGACTTCATTTGCGGCGTTCTAACACTATAATGGCACAGGTGGTGACTGCGGCTTCAAACTTGATTCCAAAACGTAGAATTCATACAACCCCACCCTTCTATAGAAAAACTCCCCAATGTGTTTTATTATATACACTTAAGGTTTCGCAATCTTCTGCCTTTTTATTACAACTTAGTGGTGCAATCATTTTCTAGGATACATAATAGCAGCTGACTCGGCAGAAACCACACCTCAGGCCCACTTGTACACAAAGTAACGGAGACGAAGTAATTTAAAATAAACAGTTTACGCTTGAGTGTTACAAGACCCTACCTAAGGTCGTTGCTTTCGGATTGCCTAACACGTTGATCAAATTCAAATCAAAGCTTTACTTTTTGCTTCACGGTGACCTATATTTAATTGTTCCTGCACTACAGTGAGGTATTATGATAGAATTCAATGCTGCACAATTGGAGGGGGTGAGAAAACGATTTATAGAATGATGTGAATTGGCTTCTTTTAAGATTTGAAAATTAACTTGAAAAGAAGCTGAAAGCAGCCGGCCACAACTCAGCGAAATAACCAATATGCAACCTCTTCTCGTATTACTGTTTCCGAATTTTCCAGCACATTTTGCGCCCTCTGTTGATATACTGATGCGACTTATTTATCTCCGAACGTGTAGGATAGTCTCCATTGTATAACTTTCATTCTATTCCGTTGATCTACACGTTGATAAACTACACGTCTGCAACACTACAGTGAGAAATCGAGAAATCCCCTCCGCGAGTGGAGTTTCATTCAAACAGAAATATCATGTTTCCTGTGAAGTTTTTGCATTGCTGTCCGATGCAAGAATTTCTGTAAATGAGCCAACGGTCGTCCAGCCGTAACCCAGGACGTCTGGACAAAAGAGGTCAAGGTTCCAGCGGCTCTGACAGCAAAATAGCGGGAAGGTCCGACCGTGGTTCCGCTGCGGTTGACGGCTCCCAAAATGGCCGTCCGCCTGCTCGCAATCGCAGGCGGGATTACGAGGACGGACGACCGGGGAAGCACTCACAAAAATCTGATAGTAAACAAACCAACTCAAAGACAAGCACTGGTAACTATCTATGCGTTTCTGAAATAAGTTTTCATGTTAAAGGTGTTTATCCACTGTGATGTTTCCAGTTGTCTGACAGTGTCTAGGTTTGCCAGGCATGCCAGGACTGGAGCAGATTGACTATGTCTTGATTGAGGTGTGGACATGCTGCTGGGGGGGAGGTGAAGATTAGGAGGAAAGACTTTCATACACAGAGGCCACTATTAGTATGAACTGTCTGAAAGCAATAAGATGTCCTAAAACGTAACATTAACCCTAACCATCCTCCAAAATCCTTCATGTCCTTTGGTTGGTTTTGGAGGAATTTGAATGGCTGATTGCGAAGGATATCATGCGTGAAGGTCGTGGATTAGACCTTGTGTTGTTTTCACTTAGTCAAGCACACATTCAGCCCGATGTTTCTTTTGAATCAACTGCACAGCTCAAGAATGCCCTTCGCACTACCTCAACATAATGACAGGAATTGCTGGAGGATTTTGAAGGATTGAGGCAGAAGGCACACCTCCAAAAAACATTTTCAAGAAAATTTTGAGGATTTTGGAGGATTTAGGCTGCACGCAATTCTTTGTTGTAAAAAATCAGAGGATTTTGGAGGATTGTGGATGGTTCCTATTAAGAACGCCTAGAGGGTTAGGGTTTTAAGCAGTGAAAACATTAACGGCTTCACTTAGAAAACACTTATTCAGACCTACCCCCAGAACTATGGGGTCTGATGTCCGCCCCGCGCTTGGACTTCTCATGATCATGATGATCAGGATAGACACTGATTCACTGTCCAAAACAAAACTTGAGGAGTGGTAGTCACTACCTGTTTGATTATTGTGTTGGAAGAACTCCTTAATAGATCAGCTCAGTTCCTTAATGATATGAACACCAACATGTTTAAAAAGGGCACTATTTAAATATAAGGGGATTTCACCAAGGGAAAACGGTTGTACGGAAAGCTAGGCAAAACAGATGTGTTTATAATGGTTGAAGGTCAAAAATCTAAGGCTTACTGTTATTTTGAATGTGTGATTTTAAAATTGGTGCAGTCAATTACAATTTTCTTTGTGGCTTTACCAAAATTAGGTAAAAATTCTCACAATTTACAATCGAACAAATACGGGTCTATAGTAATACTCAGTCTAAACATAGCCAAATTGCTGTGCCAATATGAGTAGGTTTGTGTTTTCTGAGAGATCTTGTTTGTCTGCTTCTGTAGGCCGGAGGCTGTTTTCGGACAACTCACAGCTGTCGTCATTGGTCAGCAAGGCTCTTCACGATGACGACAAAGACAGACGGATCACAGCCATGAGGAACCTCAAGGACTATATACTGAGAAACGATCATGCTAAGGTCAGTCATCAACCTCAAGGAATGGGTAAACACAAACCTTCGCTGCTGTGTGCACGCACAAATATTCCCCAACATACACTCGAGCACCCCTTAATGTACATTCTAAGCAGATGTTAGCCACAACTCTTACAATGAGCTTTGTATTCTTCTCTCACATACAGGAGGTACAAAGACAAGCAGACAACCTTTTACTGGTCCTTTATGATGCCATCAATGACAGGTTTGTTAAGTCTAGAAGACTTTTTAAATATACTTTTGGGAGTTTCACTGCAATTATTTGTGACATCTTGAAATCTCCTGTCAAATATCTTCAGTAAACCTTATCAGTATTCTTAAGTGCAGTTAACATAATGGTGTTCATTTTTCATCGTAATGAAAAGATGGAAACTTTTCCAATAGTGGGAATGGTAAAACTCAATAGCAGTTATTTGCACATGAACTTGAGCAGTCAAGTTTCATGGATGCACCTACGACTTAATTTTAGTGTCTAGATTTGATGTAGCTCTTACAAATTGTCATATAAATCATATATTTGCCCCACATATCTTAGTTCCTTCAGTTCCAGATTGGGCAAAATGAAACTGTTCTGACCAACTTTCTGTTCTGTTTCCTTAGGACCAGCCATGACATCCGCTTGGAGGTTGTATTCTGCATAGCTTCAGTGGGCTGTCAAATCGGCCATGACCTCAGACGGTCAGACACTCACTTTCACTTCTATTTTTTCTTTCTGAATTGCATGCTTTTTTTACTCCCATGAATTGAAAATCAGATAACCAAGAGTGTTTTGATTCTCATAATCAGGTTTCTCCAGGGGCTCTTCAACAAGATCCAAGGCACCTCTTCAGATGAGATCAAATGTCTTTTCTTACTGGTTATAGTGCAGGTAAATTTGCATGTAACCCTGTAACAAGAATAATTCTAACTGATTGGGCCTGTGCAGGAATTGTTTGCTTTATTGAAGTTCAGGATTTTTCATCATGACCTGAAATTTTTCAGGGAAAAGGCCAGTGCAGGTTGACTCAGTGTTGACAAATTTTTCCTTCCAAACTGGATGAACAACAGAATCCTTTTTCTCAGAGTCTGATGCAAGTTAACCCCTTGACAACGGGAACTTTTTTCTGAAAGCGGACTCCAAGAATTACAGCCTCGCTTGGCCACAAAGGCCACCTGCCAAACTGCAAATTCTCAGTTTGTGGCCCAGCCTGCTCTGCACACTTTGAATTACATGGTGAAAAGGCTGATTGTTCGTGGCATGCGGCTCTACTCATGCTTCCACATTCCTGTTGCCTCTTTTCAAAGTGGGGACTATTGTGAAGCTGGTGATTATGATGCAAATTCGGTCTTTTCATTCTTGGGCTGCACACAAAGGCCAATCACCATATATGCAAGAGTCAGGGTCTGCCTTCTTTCACCGTGTTCGCTCGAGCGTGGGTCAACAATAATAGATAAAAAGCGTGCTGAGGATCTCAATTTTTACAGCGGCTTTTACCGTTATCCGTTGCGAAGGGGTTAAAAACAAATCCCCAGAAAATTACTCGTGTTGTACTTGTGTCCATGGGACAGACTCTAGTCAATGAAGTTTGGAAATATGCAGCTCCTTTACCAACTGATTCTGTATGTTGTACAACTCTTTCAGTGTTTGAGCATGACCAGAAGAGTTAAAATTGACATTGATGCGCTCATTGGATACAACCGAATCAGGGAAATGTATCTCGCATAAAAAACGGCAAATTCTATTTTTGATTCAAAACACTTCCTTTTTGAATATTTTTGTAACAGGTCTTGAAAAATGATAACGAAAAGCAGCAATGCAAGAACCTGATCGCATTCATCATGAGCAACATACAAACCACACTGGAGAACGCAGACACACCAGGTAAAAGCAATTCATTCAAACGTGTTCACTCTCTTGCATTAAAGTCCATCGTTCACGTAGCCCAGGCTTAATTTGTGTTACAACCTGTCCTGTTTTGTACACAGAACTGCTGGTTTCTTCAGTGAACGCCATTCATTACATTTGCCAGCGTTATCCAAGCACGTTCAATGATCACTTCAAGGTAAGAAGAAACTTTTCAACACAGTCCAAGGCAATCACTTTACTGTCTGTAGTTGCGCCCCCTTCCACTGACAGTGTAGTGCATCATGTGTAGTATGGATGGCCAGAGTTTGCAGAAATATCACCTGTTAGTCAGGTTTGGATTTTACTTCCAGTTCGTTCAAAATGGACATTGGTTCCATTTATTTTAAATAGGGTCGTATATTCATTTAGTATAGTAGAATGTGTATTATTGTATGGTGTTAAGATAGCTGCCTGGGATTTTGAACACTTAACAAACTAATCTTTTTCCTTTTTTGTACCAATGGCCATCCATAGATTTAGCAGCCACTTGCAGAAAAAAACAAGAGTGTGGTGCCAATAGAGCAGACCTTAAACAAGCAAAACATTTGCCAAGTGTCCGTGGCGACTTCAGACTCATTTTCACAGAGTGTGACAGATTAGCTGGCTGGTCCTGGGGCTAAGCTGGAACCGGCAGTAATTTACAGACAGAGCCCCACAGCTGAGAAGAATTAAGAAACATTTTCAAATTGTCTTCCACTTTGCCCTTTGCCCTTACAGGACACTGTGGATATTCTGGTTGGCTGGCACATTGACACGTCCCAGAAGCCTGCATTGATCAAATACTGCTCTGGTAAGCCAGTTGTGGGTGGTGGGGGGGGATGTATATGAATCTACAAGTTTACTTCTTAGAACTGTTTAAGTTAGCTGGCTTATGTGCCATTAGTATCTTTAGTGTCTTGTGTGCCTTTTGCAAGTTAAATTTGAATAAAATCTGGTGCACTGAGTTCTTTAAATTCATGTGAGCATAGCAATTTGAATTCTCCTTACTAAAGGCACTGTTACTATACCTCGTGATTTGGGGCAAGCTTTTGCTTAGTTTCATAAGAGACGCCTTGCATTAATACGCTGTTTCCGTTGGATAAGAAGGGCACAAAGGAACCAGTCCGTTCCAGAGATAGTGGTTGCTATGCAAAAGCTTGCCCTGAATCATGTGGTATGGCAACAGTGTCTCTAGTCTGGGGAATTCAAATTGCTATGTTTATGTGCAATTAGAAATCTCAGGGTACCAGATTTTATTCAAATTTAACTCACAAATGGCTTATTGGAGAAGCTGGTCCATATGAAGGCAGGTGGGAAGTCTTACAACTGAGCTTATGCAAGTGCGCAGCGTACACACGATGACCATACATTCCAATACAAATTGGTTGTACAGACTTAGCCTGCTTTGCAAAAATCAGGCATAAACCTGAGCACTGCACAGCAAGTTCCCATCAAAGAACAGCCGTTTCCATGTAGAAAACAGGCCCTCTCTTGTTCCTCTTGCTGTCTTCTCGACAAATGCGAAGAAAATTATCTTTTATTGAACGAGATTGATTTTTGGTTAATTGAGGACGTGCTTTGATTGGATCCACCTGACTGACATGACATTGGACCTGCAGCCCGGCTTGTAGTCAACTTAACTTTACTTTATTGCAATCAAATACCTGCATGTTCTGTTCCATGGTGTTTTTGTCTGCTTACAGATACCCTCATCAGTTTCCACAAGTACTGGCTAGCTGACATCAACTTCTCTGTTACCCTTCTTGGACAGTTTCTTGAAGACATGGAGGCCTACTCAGAGGTGAGAATTAACACCATGACCAAATTTGTTAGCAGTAAATGTTAATTAAAATGTAATTTAAAAGTAAACATTAAAACTTAATTGAAATAAAGAAACTTTATTTTAATTGTAATCTTTATGCTGATTGCAGATTGTTATGAAACGGGTTAACTTGTCATACATAGTGATATGCATATATCTTTAAAGAAGTCATAATCTACAATCACACAGTAATCAATAATAATAATCAATAATAATAATAATTATCAATTTTCCCATTTCCAAAGACTTTAGTTATTGTGTTTCCATTGTACTCTAATCATGCTTTTGTCAGAAATGCAATGTCTACCACCTGAAGTTCACAAGCAGATACGATAGCTCACGAGCATAGGCTTGAAGTGAGACTTCCGAAGTGGGCTTGATGTGCTGTGAGCACTATGGTTCAATCTCTTCCTCGGAGTATTACTGTTGTATAGCACTTCCATTTGAGGGTTTGTAGCTCTCACACACTGGTGGGGTGTGTCGTGGCTCCAGGGCTGTGGTGGAGTCCATCACAAGTCCCTGCAAGTCATCTTTTCTGAAGTCAAGTCATAAACGATTTGTGTGAACTGTGACAAAAGCATTCCATTGTCATTGGTCATCCTGCTTCTTGTGACTTGTCTTGTGACAGGGCTTACGAAAGGATTTGTAACTGGTCTTGTGATAGACTGGAGTATATCCTTGGAAGGCCCCCAAGCCTGTCTTAGGCTCCCTTCTTGCCAGTGCCAAAAATTCATTCTGGAATCTGCACCACTTCCAGAAATTTCACCCCGGTATAATAGCTGTCCCTCCTTGGTTTGACTAGGACCTGACCCACTGCTGCAGTGGAACGTCTGGAGCTGGCGATGGTAGCAAAGCAGATGATGAAGAGCCGCAGACGCCCGAGATCTGTAGGAGTAAGATCCTGGCACTCATCAAGTAAGTCATTGTGTGTCTGGGCTGTGTGCGTGAGCTTAAGAGGGCACTCTTTGCAACCAGAGTGCTGCCAAGTGACAGTGCTTTTGTCTCACCAGTGGTGTGTGAAAATTTTTTTGTGTCAGTATTATTCGGTGCTAAGCCTACGTGCAGCCTTTTCATATGAGGTTTCCCCAAAGTGGAGCTTTTCACAAGACAGGCTGTGTTCAAGTCTTATCAAAATGGATTTACAATTTACTTTCAATGTCGGAGGGTGCACTCTTCGTAAACTGAGATTTCCTGTCTTTTTAGTACAAGTCTAGTCGCCATGTTGAAAATATGACAAAGTCCAGCATGGAAAAATACAATGGGCTTAACTATGAGGAAGCAAGACGTTTAAAAAGGGAAGTAACATCCATACTTTCTTGATCCGTTTTTAAATTACCAAATTCTCTCAGGGTAGCATTTTCTCATTTGTTACCAGTGTCTTTGCCACTGTCGTCAAGTGTCTGGGAGATGGCTTCAGCCCTAGGCCTGGCTCGCCTATCACTTCCGATTATCTGACTGAGGTAAGACACTTGGCCTTTCCTGATACGGGAAGTATAGCCTTTAAGATACTCTCTGCAGAGTCTGTAGGTATTGTGTTCCACTTAGTTTTGAAGAGTTTTTCATGGTGTCGTCATGAAAAATGTAAAATATTTGGCTGGAGAAAAATAAGCAGCACCCAGGACTGGTTCATTGTGACATATTCTCATTCACAAGCGGCTAATAATAAAGGTCACATTTTTTTCTTACCAGAGGAATTGGCGTACCAATTCCCTTTTTGTGATTTTCTCCACAAAACTTGACATTGCAGGTGTTCAGTGGCATCCTTCGGTGCGTCCAAACTGTTCAGAAAGAGAGCCAAGCCGACGGCACGGATGAACCCATCGTGCTAGCAGCCAACGAGTGCCTGTCCGTGCTGTGCGACAGCGTCCGATCCTCCCTGGCCCAGTGTCGGCACGACATGGTCAGCTTTGCCCTGGGGCAGCTGGACAGGGCCCTGCAGGTGGACTTCCCCCGAAATGTGGTCCTCCTCCCAGCCCTGTCCTTGCTTTACAGGGTGAGGCTGAATTCAGATATTTTTGGTTTTTTAAAAAACATAACGCTAGTCCCGGAGCCCTAGCGCATGACTGTAGTAATTGTATCGTGGAAATATTTTTTGAAAGAATAGGGCAGGAGGCGTTGTATTTTTCATGAGGGAAGAGGAGCAAAGAAAGTCGAATCAAGAATGATTGGTCCGTACGTTGCATTAGTGGTTGATAGTTTGCAGAGTTACAACCCAGTCATTTGCCAGTCAAACGGAAGTCGGGTCACAAGTCAGATTACGTGTAACAAGAAATTAGATAAAAATGCCACAGGGCTGAAAGGAATGCAGTAGACGGTGTTCATTTGAACAGCTTGCAGCTTGAGTTAAGAGAATGTTATGTGTGATTCACAATTGATTGTTGTGTCTTCTGTGGGCTTGACTTATACGTATGTAACTCGTACGCTGCCAAGTTAGCCAGACTGTTGAAATGGAATTGCTGAGTACTATTTTGAACATGTTATAATAATTCATACAGTTTTAACCCCAATTTTTAAAAAGTTACCATTGCCTTTTGTTGCTGAGAAAGTATAACGTGTATGATTGACTTGCCTTCTACAATCCAACTTGACCAACAGCCTCTAGTTTGTTTGTGTTTATGATGTTAACATTTAGTGAATGGTTGCACTTGTTTGCTCCGACAGCGGCTCAGTGCAGTCAATAACAGAGTAAGGTCTAACCTGTCTTACAGGTCTTGAAATACCAGAGCACTGGCCTGCCTTCTGACATGGCAGAGAAGCTGTTTGGACCAGGGTCAAAGTTCAAGAAGCTACGGTTCCACAACAACCAAGAGGTATAATGCAGCACTTCATCTTTGACTGTCATTGTATGTCAAATTTTTTTGATAAATGCAAACTGACTTTTTGTAAGTGATGGAGGATCGTGCAGTTCAGTGGTTAGTATTGTGACTGTCAAGATTGGATTTGAATCCCTTTGTTGGTAGTGAGTCTCTGAGCCTGGAGTTTGTTGGCATCAGTAAGAAAGTGAGCTTGTGATGGATGGTGGGTGGTATGGAGATAATTGGAGTTTTCTTCTGCTGAGGAAATCGGGAATAAGCATAGGTCTTGTGACGTGTAGTGCTGTGGTAGAACTGTGTGCCATGTGTCCTGGGCTTAGATTGTTTGTAGTGAATTAAATATTAAACAGGAAGACTTGACACCCAATTTCATAGAGCTGCAAAACGGAAATTATTGCTGAGGAAATTTATGCGCTAAGCAAAAATCTGCTGGGAACCGGTCGGAGATGTATAGAAAGCATGCCATTTTGGTTGGTAAATCTTCTTTTACTCAGCAGAAATTTTCTTTGCTCAGCAGATTTCTATTCTTAGCTTTGTGAAACTGGTCCAGGGGGTCACAGGATTCTTCTCAGAATTTGGAAGCGAGTCTACCTTTGTATGGGTTAACGAGAGGGTACTTGTGCTAGACTTTCCTTCTCTGTTCTGTCAGGTGCTGGCTATGCTTCTAAAAGTCTACCAGAAACTGCTCTGCATCAAAGACGTTCCCATGCTGGAGGCCATATACAGGTATGGGTTCCTGACTCCATGATGTTAATTTATCCCTTGCTGACACTTTGTGGCTAGACATAGCAGGTGTCATAGGCCATGTCTGAAACGGGCTTCTAGAGTCCACGGCTAGGTCTATTGTCTGCGCATCTCCACTT